TAGGAAGCTTTTTCCGAACCCAGCATAATATAAACCCTATTTAATTCCTTATATTAAATAGGGAAACTTGTCGGCCAATACATTGGTTTCGCAGATCAAACGGATGTCATAACTTTCTCTAGTTTATTTGATCGAGCCTCACCCTCAATTCTTGTGTTCATCCTTCGGGATAGATACAAGATTTGAGGTAAAGCGCTCTTTCATTTAAACTATGAAAATTATGGGGTCAGTTTGACTTCATCCTTTTCAAAACTAAAATTTTTAAAACGTCCTTCCGAAGCGGGCAACGGGATTTCAATTCCGATGACCGACAGCTTCTTACGGGCAAACCCCACACCAAAAATAGTGTCGACATGGTTATAGTTGAAAGTCAAGATAGTAGTTAGCCATGTAGGAAGTTACAAGAGCTGTGAGCCACGTAGACTAAGTTGGTCACATAGGTCGTAGTATGGAGTTGTAGGATATGTGAGTCACATAAGCCATAATGGTGAGCTATGATAACATCTATAGGTCATTGAGGTCAGAGTTAGGAACTGCAATAACCTTCACAATCCATAAAGGCCAGAGTCGGGAGTTGTGTGGGTTCTAGTCAGTCATATAGGCCATAATGGTAGTTATAATAATGTTCATAGGTCACAAAGACTAGAGTTAGGACCTGTAATAATGTCCGTAGGACACATAGATAATAGTTAGGAGTTGCTTGAACTGTGAGCCACATAGGATGGTCAAGGCATAGTGAAGAACTTCAAAAATGTCCACAAACCAGAGGAGTCAGAGATTGGAGCTATAAGCCTCGTAAGCCGTAGTCAGTCACATAGGGCGTAGTGGTGAGCTACGAGCCACATGGGCTATAGTTAGTAATATAGGTAATAGTTCTGAGATGCAATAACGTTTGTAGGTTTGGGGGCCATAGTTAGGACATGCAATAATGTTCCTAGGCCATAGAGGTTAAAGTTGAGAGTTGTGTGAGCTGTGAGCCACGTATGTTGTATTTGGTCACATAGATCATAATGGTGACCTGCAATAACACCTGTAAACCTTAGGGGTCAGAGTTGAGAGCTGTATGAGCTATGAACTTCACATACTGTAGTTGGTCACATATGTCATATTGCTGAGCAGCAATAGTGTTCATAGGCTACTGGGTCAAAGCTGGGAGCTACGTAAGTATTGAGTTGCATATGCTACAGTTTTGAGCTACATTATTGTCCATATGCCATAGAAGCCGGAGTTGGGAGCTACATGAACTATAGACCATGTAGGTCGTAGTAGGGAGCTACATGAGTTATGAGCTATGTAGGTCGTAGTTGGTCACATAAGTCGTAGTAGAGAGCTGTGAGTAGAGAACTTCAAGACTTTGGAGAAATCATTGTATTTTGAGTACGATGATTGTAAGCAGTTATTGTAGGGAGTTATCATCAAATCATTGATATGTTGTTATTCATGATCTCTTATTGGGAGTATGTTATTACACCGCATGCAGGGTGCGTTGCTACACCATAATTGAGGAGCGTCGTTGCACAATCTTTAGGATGTGCCACGTCTCTGGGATGCATCATATTGTCTTCGTAGTGCATTGTTGCACCATATTAGAGGATAACATTGCTCCATCTTAGGAGTTCGTCATTTTATCTTATTGGGTTGCATCGTTGCACCATATTCAATACGATACACTGCACTAAAGGGTGCTTCATTACTTGACCGACTTCTTTTTGTAATCGATAAATACAAGAATTTGATGACGCTACTAGAAGATTTAATTTTTCAGCAACAGTGTCCAAAAACTTGATCGCGATTTTATAGATGTGTCTGATTTGATTAAGTTGTATAATTATAATATTCAATAATGTTAAAGTCGAATTTGTCAACGCAAGTATACGTATCGCTCAAGTAATATAGGGCTCTAATGGAGTCCTAGATATCGATCCCACAGGGAGTGTTTTAGAATCACAGACTAAGACTTTTAGAAAAGCAAGACTTTAATCACAACAAAGACGTTCAATTTGCTTATCTGTCACTAATAGACAATTGAAATAAATTGATAATTTTAATAACTAATAAATAACTAATGATATAAAGTAGGGTTTAATTGTGATATTCAATATATAAGAAAACATCATTCTCCTTGTCAAGAAATTATAGTGAATGGATAAAATGAATTAGTTCAATTTATATTGTGCCAAATAGGAGCATACATATTCTTTACCCTTTGGTCCAAGCATAAAGAACATTGACTAATCCTATGCTTGGTTACTGATTCTGCGGCTAGGTTGGGAGGATACCGGCTGTCACTTCGGAGCTCCCACATTCCCCTCACCT